AGAAGCTCAGTGTGGGGGACCTTACGCTTGGTTAAAATAAAGGTAATACTTGTTTAGTTTTCGTTGCAACAATGCTTAAGGGGAGGCCTTCATCCAGAAGTGGATTGACCATGGCTGTCTGACGACGACGATGAAGGACTGCCGTGACAGGCTGAAGGCTTCATGGCGGTGCGCGTAAACCGACGCACCGCTTGTGAATGCAAGTCCCCAACGTTTCAATCATTAAACCGTTTGAAATTAACACTTGCGGCTGATTTGTTATCGATCGTCTCACCCCCACCCCTGGCACAATCCGCTGTATGCTCACAAACAGAGAGAGAGAGACACGAGTGCATGCGTAAAATTGGATCGATGTCGCCAGATGGTTCCATGGCAGGGGGGGGGGGGGCTAAAATTGTTGACTCGTTCGCTGTTAGTGGGGTTGGGGGTAGAGGGGCTGGGGGAGGGTGAAAGGGGGCTAGGGGGAGGATGGAGGTGGGCTTGGGGGGAGGGTAGAGGGGGGCTGAGGGGAGGGTGGAGGGGGGCTGTGGGGAGGGTGGAAGTGGACTGGGGGGTGGTGGAGGGGGGCTGGGGTGAGGGTGGAGGGGGGCTGGGGGCTGGAGTGAGAGTGGAGGGGGCCTGAGGGGCGGGTGGAGGGGGGCTGGGTGGAGGGGAGTTGGGGGGAGTGTGGAGAGGGACTTAGGGGAGGGTGGATGAGGGTTGAGGGGGCTGGGCACCGGGTAGAGTGGTTCACTATGTACAGCAAACCCTTGCCCGACGTGGCACGGCATTATGATAAACTAAACTATTTTTTTACCAGGTGTAAGGCCCCACTCAGCTATGTAGCTCGTTTTCGGTCAAGCAACCTGGCCATCACAAATGCTTTCATGATCATTTGAGAATTTATTGCCGGAAAACATGCACGTTCATACAGATGTAGTGATGTAGAATGGATCACTACGGCGCTTAGCGCTAAGTGCTGTAAAACAATTAAATATGGGTGCAGAGGCTAGCACACCTTGCAGTACCATACAGTGGGACACTAGGGGCGTGGTACCGGGTGCTAGCAGAAAGAGGCAAATTAATCCTACCGATATAATAGGGAATAGCAGCCACTCTGCCAGCACAGCGAGTAATCGCCACATACTTGGTCATGGGGGGAGCGTGGTGAGGGCTGCTGGCAGAGGGGCGCATGTGAGGACGAGTCACCCTGGCATCGGGCGAAGCACGTGATGAGTGGGAGGGAAAGGTGACCGGGGGGACACGGGAAGAGTAGCCGGGAATCTTCTGGAAAGTTCCTGAAGGGGGCGTGGTTAAGGGCGGAGCCGGGCAGGTGGCACGTGTAAGGTAGTCTGGAACCATCGGGGATATTCCAGAGGGCGCGGCCGAGGGTGGAGCCAGGTCGCGCCAAGAGGGATATAAGGGGAGCCCCGATCGCATATCGGGGATGATTGCAGATCAAGAGGAACCCAAGTGCTACGTCTTCGTCTCCGTTGCCGACGTCGTGGGTCAGACAGGACGTTGGCTGCTCTGACTCAGTTATATTTATCCCATGTGCGCACGAGTCGGGTGTATTGTAGTCCCGTGTGTAACGGTGTTATGTAATGTTGAATAAACGTTGTTGCCTCCTGAAAAGTGGTTCCAAAGTGACTTGCTACACAGATTCATGGAGACCCATATACTCATAGAGATCCACATAGACCCACAGAGACCCACATAGACCTACAGAAACCCACAGAGACCCACTCTCATCGAGACCCATATGAAAACTAACCAATTGTTTTATTTGATCAGGTAAGGCCCCACTGAGCTGTTGAGCTTTTTTTTTTCAGACAGGCGGCCTGGCCATCACAAATGATTGCAGCTCAACCACGTGGCTGATATTATCATTACGTGGGAATTCATTGCAGCCAAATACTCCAAGCACGTGTGATGTTGATTCTGAATGTGGAGGGAAACACCGGAGGACCCGGAGTAAAAATCCACGTGGCTGTGGTGAGAGAGAGCCACTGCAACCTCCAAATATATAGCAGCCATCTTGGTCGGTAAGGTTAAGTTACGCAAACAAAACGTGCCAATGACAGTAGTTACTAGTTTAATACGCGATCTAACCCAAAAACAAACGTAACTTTTTGGTTATTCTCATTTTGAAAACCAAATTTCTCCGTCATCGTCCTGTGGTGTGTCTGTGACTTGTGACCTCAGCTGAAGCCCTTCTGTACTATTCTTATCATCACGGCGATGTCGAACATCGAGTGCAACATGAATACCCCCCGAAAGGTGACTTCGGTTCTGACACGTGCCAGACTAGAGTTTCTTACGTAGGTAGCAGTAAGTCGAGGCCATGCCAAAACCCACCCACCCACAACTCCCTCCCTTCCCCTACCTCGGAGATCCGATTGCAGGTTATAGATATATTCAAATCGTTTTCACGCTTTGTTTCTTAAATTATAATAATGCTATCAGGTGAGGGGGGCGGGAACAGCTGCCTTCAACGGAGGAGTTTAAATACCTCTGGGTCTCTTTTGCGAGTGACGGCAATTGGGAGCGGGGAAACAGCCAAGAGGATCGGTGCGGAGTTGCGGGCGCCTTGCCATTCTGTGGTAGTGAAGCAGGAGCTTAGTTCTCAAACAAAGATCGCGGTTTACAGGTCGATCTACATTCCCACCTTCGCCTATGGTAATGACCTTTAGGTAATGACCGAAAGGATGAGATTGCAGTTACAATGGGCCAAAATGAGGTTTCTCCACACGGTTGCCGGGCTAACTCTCCATGATCGGATGAGGAGCTCGGTAATCCGGGAGAGCAGCGGAGTCGAGCCACTGTTACTCCAGATGGAGAGCAGGTAATTGAAGTGGTTTGGGCATCTGGTAATATTTCCGCCCAATAGACTCCCCTTGGAATTTTACCGGGCACGTCCCACTTGAAAAAGACCCTGGAGTCGGCCCAGGACACGCTGGTGGGACTATGTTGCTCGGCTGGGCCTGGGAACGATTGGGAATTCCCTAGGAAAAGCTAGAGTCCATCGCCAGAGAAAGGGAGGTCTGTACCGCCATACTCAACATCCTGCCGCCACGACCCTCACCAAGACAAGTGGCTCGTGAAACAAACGAACGAATAATGTATACCTTTGTATGGCCCATCAGATTACAAAAATTCCCGCGTACTGAATAATTTGTATCCCGCCAATGCATCAAGTGTGTAATCTATACACGGTAGGGGATATGCGTCAGCAAGCATAATAGTGCTGAGGCAGTGGAAGTCTACGCAGAATCTCAGTGACTCGTCTGACTTTTTTGACTAGGACCACCGGAACCTGCCATGGACTTGACGAAGGGGAAATGATGTCGGCCCTCAGCATCTCCTGCACCGCTTGCTGCTTGTGCCATTTTTCCATTGGGCTCATCCCATATGTGTTTTGGTGCAGGGGTGCGGCACCCGCCGTGCTGATGTTGTGCTGCAGCAGATGCGTGCGTCCCCGACTGAACACGTCGGAGAACTCATGGACCAATGAGTGCGGCCAGTGGGCGGCAAATCTGGCCATGGCTCCACCAGCTGGTCCATCCATGCGTTGTCCCCTCTGTCATCGGACTTGCCAACGCTTCCCACGAGCTCTGGCCCTGTCCCAGGGACTTCCATTGACAAGGGACTGACGTGGGTCAGAACCGTTCCCGCCCGCATTGTCGGTTCCCCTGTCCGAGGTGTTGAGTGCTTGAATGAACAGATGCTGATACCCCTGGACAATCGTCTTGGCCCCCACAAGTGCTCTGGAGACACCAGGACGGGTGAGTCCGGCTGGGACCGTCACGATGAGGGACCGATATCGCAGCGGTCTCAGCATCTGGGCTGCCGTGGGAATGGAGACAGACTCACTGACCAGAGCCAGCGCGTGCGGTATCCCCTGGCCGGCCCATGTGGTGTGGTGTGGGCCCCTCATGTGCTGTCTCACTCCGCCGCATTGCGAGGGCGAGGCGGTGTGCGAAAAGGCTCTGCGGCACACCAGCGAGCGCGTGTGCTAGCGCCGCCCTGGGGCCATTGGCTCTAGCAACCCACCGGCGTCACCGATAAACAGCATCGACATTTTCCGTTGCGAAGTCAACACCGGGTCCCGAAGTCACCCACGGCACAAACGCCACCACCAGCTCCAACGCAACCTCGGGACCCGACTCCACCTCCCGGCCCCGATGACACCCGCAGCGATGGCTCCAAATCAGCTGCTGGAGGTGCGTCCTGAGCTGCTGCGTAGACAGCACGCGGGCGGCGGTTCAGGCCCGGCGGTTTGTATCGCTGGCCCTGGTAGCGCCGTGGTAATGTGCCGACTGCTCCCTTCCACGGTGCCCAGCACCTGGCCCAAGGGTCGATAACAACCCATGACCTGTTTACGGGCCTGCAGGATCCGGGCGGCCCACAGTGAGATGCCCTCGTCGGGTGTCACCACCGGCATAACAACGCCCGCACGGCAAGCGTAGGCTACGAGGTGCTCGACCACGAGGTTCTCGACCGCCTCGTCGGCCAGGCGAGGTAAGGCCCTCCTTGCCAACACCAGCAGCGCATCCCATGTAGGCTAGAGTTTAACTCTCTGGCCCCCCACTGGCGGGCCTGAAACCGTCTGAGTAGATTTCCCTCAAAGCCTGTAGCGTGGTCTTGCTGCACGCGAGAAGGGAGGTGTAAGTGGCGAGCACATCATCATCCAGAACGGATGGCAGCGCTCGAAGCGCCACTTCGTCCGACCATTCGAGTCAGTCGTTTTATTTGTATTTTTGTAAGTGATTTGTTTACCTTTTCTATACTTTGCACTCCTATTGTGTGCGTATTGTTTGTTGTTGTTGTTGTTGTAACGATCTGACCACCAATCCCCGATTGGATGTCTGTGAAAAACACATTTAACGCTCATCAAATATCCTCCTCCAAGCTAAATAAAGCATCTGATTCTGAGTGATTTCCATCAGAGGTTACAAGAGGCGTCATTGGCGAACTTTCGTCACACAATAGTTGTGAAAAAAACACGCAAAATTACCAACTCGAGCAAGATTAATTTAATTTTAAAAAGTACAAATACTTAAAAGTCGCCCGTCTTCCAAGCAACATACTGCATGCATTTTGTTTGACAATTGTGTGTTGAGTGAGAGATCATAGAACTACAGGTTTATACATTGTAATCAGGCACAGGCGATATCCCTCGATCCACGAACGTTTCGGTTTACGAAGTTTCGCGCAAACGCGATTTACAAATGACAGACGCTTTTTTTTTCCTGTAAAACTAAATCATCCATTTAATACAAGCTTTACTACCCGTCTTCGCCCGGGACTTGAATTTGTGTCTACGATTAATTTCATAGTCCCTTCTATTTCACTGATAAACCCTGAAAAAAGTTGATGCTTGCAAGAAAGAAAAAAAGCCGAAACAATTCAATTGAACTAAATCGGATGTTTTTCACTCGAGGAAATTCATCCTTAAGCCACTTATACGTAAGGTCGTTTTAGGCAACTCGGGGAATGATGTGGTGAGCTGAAAGTCGCGTTCCCTTTGACATTCCAGACAGCATGAGCTGTGCAAATTTCATGACGTCAGAGCTCAGCGTTCGAGACTTTTTGCTGCTTCAGACAAACAGATGCATTATCTGGGGGGGGGGGCGGGGGGGGGGGGCGTGACGTCAGCAGGTACACTGCGTTGACGCTGCCGCATGCGGGTGACATCACAGATGTGACGTTAATGCTCACTTGCCTTGCAAAATATATCCATTATTGCGCCTCCCCCCCAAAAAAACCCAACACAAAAGTCTATTTTTTATACTTTTCAATTGTGTACATTCTGGAAGCTACCGACATGCGAAATTTTAAGTTTGTTGCACGTCGGGAAGTATGCTAAACATTTCGAACAGTCACATTCGCAAATTTCCCTTTAATAGAGATTTTAACCAGGTGTAAGTCACCACTAATGAGCTGGTGTAGCTCTTTCAGAAGCGATCTGGGCCATCACATACGATGGCAGCACAACCAAGTATCATGATATCATTATTATCGTCATCACGTAGAAATGTCTAGCAGCAGGCAAATAGCCCTGAAGGCGTAGTGATGTTGATTCTAAATGTGAAGATGAAAAATCGGAGGAACACAGAGAGATTGACACGCAAACTACAAAGACAGCAGCACGCAATGTCAGGATGGGGATCGAACTCACGACCTCCTGTATACCAGGCGAGGAAGTTATCAGCTCCCTAGCCACTGTGGTACAATCAACTAAATCGAATTTCTGCGTAATAGAATTTCCTACGGCACTCGCCCATCTAACGAGAAAGCCACCGGGGAAACTACATCATCGAAAATCTGCGACAAAGAGCTTCGTAGGTCATCAGATTTCCTCCCCCTCCCGTCTAAATAAAGATTCCGATCCGCGACAGTATTATGGTGTCCCTATACAGTTCAACGGTAACGTCTCCACATCACCCTCTCCAGTCATTCCAACATACATATTAGTTATTTCAAATGTATTATTATTCAATCGTTTTAATATTCACGTTCTTTAATAATGTTATTACACTTTTTTTGCACCCTGAAAAGTGACAAAGGTGTGTTGAAATTTTTTTTTCGAGTTGTAATGACTGTCCGATACGCTTCCCCGAAGTTTTAGTATTAAATCAAACGGGTAAAGATATTGCGAATTACAAATTAAGTTTAACGCTCGTGAGTCTGTTTTTTAGTTGTTCGAGAAACGCATCGCATTCGGTAAATCGAGCGGTACCTTGTATATGCCATTGGTAAGGGTCACGCAAATCTGCTACCCCACCCACCACCTCCACCCTTGAGTATAGGACTTCCTTTCACCCCCCAATCATCCGCAAACTCTCTGAACACCCTCCGTGACCTGTTCCAAATCAAGGTTAAAGACCTTTCCATTCTCTTCTGCCATGCAGGATCCACTGTCTGGCTCTCGATAAATGATGATATATCATTCACGACTTGGGTATCTGCGTAATGAGTCTATGGATCTCTATGTGGTGAGTCTGTAGGTTTCTGCGTGACGAGTCTACTTGTCTCTGTGTATGTTCACACGTACATTGAACTTCTTTAGCAGCGTAACGCAACAATCTTGACGATTTTAACGTTGCACAGCTCCACTGGTGCAAGCGTCGTGAGACGACCGAGTGGAAGGGCAAAAGCGATTGGACAGAACCCAGGCACGTGTGGGTGGGGGGGGTGCGGCTGTGACGTCACGACCTACACCAGAGCCCTGCTGACCACGGCGCTGATGGCCACGCCCAGCAGGGCCAGGGTCACGTGAGCTGCGCCCACCGGGCGAGGGGCGGCGTTGAAGTTGCAGCCGTTGGTCTGGCAGCACAAGATCGTCAGGCGACCGTTGAAGTCGTATATATTTATGGCTTTGCATTCTTCAAAGTTCATGCACTTCTTGGTGAGGAGGTAGGCTGGGCAGAAGAGAAAGCACGCCGGTCTCATTGTGAGTAAAAATATTTCATTACAAACACGTGAAAAATATTTTTTATTTTTTGTTTTACCAGGTGCAAGCCCCACTGAGCTGCAATATAGCCCTTTTTCATAAGTGACCTGTATGTGTGTGTTGAAATTCTTACGTGACGTATGTAGCCAACCGTGCTAATCTGTAGGTAGAGTCTCTGATTGGGATGCAGAAACCCATGAACTCATCACGTAAATAAACCCACAGACTCATCTTACACAGACCCCATAGACTAAAATTTGATTGAAAACTTTCGTGAATGCGGGAATTCATTTTCTTTGGTTCTTTCGGTAAAGTCACGTAGATATAAAACAACAAAATAAAAAAAATAAACTCACGACGTTTCGATCGCAACACAAGCGGTCGACATCACGCGGAGAGAAAAGTGGGGCAAGCCTCCAACTGCAACTGTTTATAAAGGCTTGAAATGGGCATAGCTCAAGTGTCAGAAGGAGTGGTGACAAGTGCTGCAGGGCAGCATGAATGGACCAGCTAAAGTTGTGCGTGGGCAGGGCACAAGAGTCACGGCACAGCATGAACGAATGAGCTAGTGCTGAGCAGCTTGGCGCTCATCAGCATGGGCAGGGCAGCCAATGCTAATTTTCTCTCCGCCTGATGATGACCGCTTGTGTTGCGATCGAAACGTTTGTAAGTTTTTAACTTTTTTTTATTTTGTCGTTTTCTATCTACGTGATTTTACCGAAATAATGAAAGAATATGAACCCCATAGACTCATTACACACAGAGACCCATAGACTTATCACACACAAAGACCCATAGACACACTCTAAAGAGACCTATAGACTCACGACAAAGAGACCCATAGACTCACCACACAGAGACCCATAGACTCACCACACATAGACCCATAGACTCATCACACACAGAGACCCATAGACTCGCCACACACAGAGACCCCATAGACTCATCACACACAGAGAGACCCATAGACTGGCCACACTAGAGACCCGATAGACTCAAAACACAGTGAGGGCGGACGCGTGTCTTGCGAGTGGATCATGCGCCTGGGAGTCACTGCTGAACGCAAGGGGTCCACCCCCAACCCGCGCTGTGCATGAATAAGCAATGCGCTTACTGGAGCCCTGTTGGATGGTTATTGTCGCGCAGGCATCATGCGAGTTTCCGGAACACTGAATGGCACCGCCCTCATTGCACACCGTATTGTTGATGTTCGTGCGGCATGAGTAGCATTTGATGCTGTGTCCTGTATATTCACAGACGCAAGACACAAGAACAATACCGATCATCATGATCATCATGGCAATCGACCATCATCCCGGCAGACAATCATCATTATCATCACGGCAGACGATCATCCTCATCATCATCATCAAGGCAGACCATCATCATCATCATGGTAGACCATCATCATCACCACGGCAAACAATCATCATCGTAACAGCAGACGATCATCATCACGGCAGACGATCATCACGGCAAATCTTCATCATCACAGCAGACGATTATCATCAAAGCAGACAATCATCACCATCATCATAACGGCTGACGATCACCATCATCATCATCATCACGGCAGACGATTTTTATCATCATCACGGCAGACGATTTTTATCATCATCACGGCAGACGTTCATCATCATAACGCTGCTGCACGACGAATCCGGGCGACCCGAGTTTGATTCCTGCTGCAAAGTATTATCTGTATTTTGATTTAATGTGTTGATCTCAAAGGTGCATTGAAAATGTGATACTCCGACTGATGCTCCTGTTGTTTCTGGAGTGACTCATGCAGCCAGCTGTGGCTCCAGGGTTTGGTGTTACATGTTATTTATGTAGTTTATTGTCAAAAATTTGGTCACAGTTCCTATGATCACTGTTACATTGCATTTATGGCTTTATTTTGGTGATTTCTAAAAGTTTTTTGGTTTGGCCATGTTTTTGTTTATATACTACGGAGTTAGACTGATGGCCTTAATCTAAGTTTTCTTGTTGTTGTTTGACTTGCATCCCACTGGGATTTTTGCACACAGCGTTGGTGTACGGTGCTATTTCAGGAATATTTTGATGTTTTTTTCCTGGATTTTCTGTTTGCACATGCACAAAGTCACTTTAAGATGTTTTCTTGTTCATGTTTTTGTTTTGTTGTTTGTCGCGGTTGCACCCGATTCAAGAGCCGAATGGCTCACAGGGCTATACCAAATAAATGAAACTAAAAGTATGAAACTAAACCACGGGTGGCGATCATCTGAAGCGGTACCCTGGGGCCTCCTCCTACGAGGTCGACTCGTCCTCAAATGGGTACCTAGTGCAGTGGTGGTGTGTAGTAAACATCGCCACTGGAAAGACAAAGTTGGCCGGGCGTGGTGCTGGCCTCCCACCACCTCACTGAGCTACACACGTGTAGTGTTGTGAATACAGCCACAGTGCCGGAGGAGCGCCGGGTGCACCGATTGGACGAGCAATAGGGCACGTTACCGGAAGCGGTGCATTTACTGGACGAACTCAGGTCACGTGACCGGAAGCGGTGTCCGATTGGGCGAGCTAAGGGCACGTGACCGGAAGCGGGCATCGATTGGAGGAGTCAAGGGCACGTGATCTGAAGCGGGTTTCTCGATTGGAAGAGTTAAGGGCACGTGGCCAGAAGCGGGGGGTGGGGGGGGGGGGCGCCGTCCTTGATACTGCAAGGGGCGGGGCCGGAGCCAAGGGATAAAGGGGGCGTGCGTTCGGGGATTCGGGGCTCGTTCGGGGATCAAGCGAGTTAACAGAGACCCAAGTAGTGAGCAGTCTCGAACAAGTTAGCCACACTTAGCAACATAACCCATAGTTCATTTCCATTTATTTCCATAGTTCCATTTACTTGGTATAGCCCTGTGAGCCATTCGGCTCTTGAATCGAGTGCAACCGCAACAAACAAAAAACACGAACAAGAAAAACATCTTAAAGTGACTATGTGACTGTGAAAACAGAAAATCCAGGGAAAAAAAAACATCAAAATATTCCTGAAATAGCACCGTACACCAACGCTGTGTGCAAAAATCCCAGTGGGATGCAAGTCAAACAACAACAACAACAACCACACGACAACAAATATTAAGGCCATCAGTCTAACTCCGTACTACAATAAACAAAAACCCGGTGTACAGTTAATTGTTTAATAAACACGTTGCCTCCTTATAACGGTGTGTGTGCCTTAGTCAACGTACACGACACACGTAGCCTCAGTGGCGCCTTACCCCTGGCACAATTAAAGTAGTGAGTGAAGTGAGTTAGTTAATATGACAAAATGTAAAAATAAAAACGCACCGAGAAACCACGAAGTAGTCGAGACGGAACAATTGATGAATTTTTCAACGCTTCAACTTGCGGTCTTTAACGAAAAGAGAAGTCCTAAACTTAATTTCAAGAGGTAATGAGAGCGTGCATACGCAGAACCAAACAAGTCCAACACACAGCGTGAACCGAAACTAAACACCCCGAAAAATGTAAACATCAAATAACTCTTATTCTTATTTTTTTCGGTAAAGTCACGTTGAAGAGAAACAACAAAATAATATAATATATATAAAACAATAAAAATTCTCACGACGTTTCGACCATAACTCAAACGGTCATCTTCAGGTCTTCAGGTGTGAAGATGACCGTTTGAGTTATGGTCGAAACGTCGTGAGAATTTTTATTGTTTTATATATATTATGCTATTTTGTTGTTTCTCTTCAACGTGACTTTACCGAAAAAAACTAAGAATATGAATTACTGCAGTCACGAAAGCTTTAAATCAAAAATCAAATAACTGTGTCGATATTGGAGATACTGCGGCAACGTCGATGTCAATTTTATGCGTTTGATTTACTATATAGTTGAAACTAATATTTATTGGGTACTTTCTGTTTCTGATATAATGACGAGTCCGGTCATGTACAGCAGCAGGCATCGTCAGGGTCCGGGATCGAACCCACGTACTCCTGTATACAAGTCAAAGTAGTTAACATCTCCACAGGGAGAGAGACACACACAGAGACTCCAAATATAGCAGCAGGTATTGTCAGGGTCCGGGATCGAACCCATGCACCTCCTGTACACCAGACGAGGTAGTTAACATCTCTATATATATCGCAGTATCGGCGTTGCTTTGGTGTCGTTGCAACAACAAACAACTCGCCACGCAGAAGTTTTCACACCTTCGCTCACGAACAGCAACGCCACGAGGAGTAGACCCGGCAGGTGGGAAGTCATGGTTAGAGTCGTGGAGCCTGGCGTTGTGGGGCTTTTGGGATGGAAAGTCGGTGAGTTGAGAGAGACAGAGTTCCAGAGTCATAGAGAGAGAGAGAGATACTATATATCCCTGGAGCGGTGACTGCGTCTGCGTAGTTAACTGGGAGAATTTATAAGCGCCAGAGATTAATGAGATCGGGGAAGACACTCCTACAAACTCATTAGCATGCCACTTACAAACATTTGGAGGTGATATGCAAATATATATGTCGGAGCTCGTTGCTCAATAGCCGCAAACTTGTCTGGCACACGAAGTGGGGTGTGGTGGGTGCGGTGGGTGGGTGGGTGGCCAGCGCCACCCGCTCACGGCCGCCTTTGTCTCTCCCCACTGCAATCATATACACCCACGAACACCTGCATGCACACACACCTGTACATATACACTCACACCTGCATGCAAACATACCTGTACATATACACAAACCTATAAATATACCCACACAACTGCATGTAAACACACACCTGCATTTGCACACACCTGTAAATACACACCTGCATATACACGCAAAACACACAAACATACATATACACACTTACACCTGCATGTACACACACCTGCATATACACTCACACATGCATGTTCATACACGTGTACACACATACAAACACACGCAAACACACTTGTACACACACACGTACATACACACAAGCACCTGTATGTACACACACCTGCATATTCTCACACTTGCATGTACGCACACACGTGCATATATGCACAATCATACCTGTACATATCCACACACAAAGACAAATACAAAGATGCCCCATAGCCTTAACATAATGGAGGAGAAAGTGCTGTTAGCGAGCACCTATGAATGCCGGGACGGTACACGAGGGGGTGGGTAGACAGCACCACGCCGAGCGCCTTTATCTCCCCTGTCGCGAAGTTTACACACTCATTTGAGCCTGAGTCGTCCTAGGGGAGGCCCAGGACCGATTCAGATAATCGTCACTGGTGTTGGCCGTGAGCAGGAATCGAGCCCGGGTCGCCAGGTTCATAGCGCACACACTTATACCTGCATAGACACACACCTACGTATACACTTATACCTGAATAAACACACACGCCTGCACATACACACACAAACACCTGCATATACCCACAAACACCTGCATATACAAACACACCTGCATGTACACACACCTGTTAATACACACGTACCTGCATATACACACTCACACTTACATGTACACACACACACACACCTGCATATACACGCAAAACACACCTACGTATACAACAGCCGCCATTCGCCACTAAGTGGCGGTGATGTCACCAAGATGCTTGTGCCAGGCTATGTGCACTTTGAGACCACGTGAAGTGTCGAACGCCCGCTGGCAGGAGGTCACAGGGCAGACCCAGGTGACACGGGTCGACTGACTGAGATGACTGGCTGATGCACCACCTGTGCCCCCTACTATGTCAACCTGCTGTGCTTTAGCCACCCGGCGCTCCGCTCGTTGTTGTGAGCGTCGATCCTCTGCACTCCGTTGTTGTTGGAGGGCGACTGCCTCCAACTGCCCTTAGCATCCTTCACGAGCGCCTCCACAGAGGCCATCTTGACACCGCTGGTACCAGTCATCGGCAAGTCCACTCAGTTCCACATCCTCCTGTACCACATCATTCCATCTCTTTTCTAGCCCATACCATGGCCGTTTAGCCCCCTCGATCCAGCCGAACAAAAGCTCTTTGGGCATGCGGTAATTGGGCATGCAGGCTACATGGCCCAGCCAACGCAGCCTTGCCTGCCGGACGAGCTCACCGATGGGACTTTGTCCAGGAGGAGTTTGAGGTGCTGCTACTGAAACTGGAGTGTGCCACTAAGAGTTGGGGCCTTGCCGTCAGCCCCACCAAAACGAAGCACCTTCCTGGGTATTTTGTACCATCGGGCACTCCACCCCACAACTCCCAATCGGTGATGGGGCATTTGTGGAGAGAGTGGAGAGTTTCCCATACCTGGGCAGTGTGCTCATGACCGGCTCCAGTTTAACAGCAGAGGTCTCACTTCGAATCAGTCGAGCGGCAATATCTTTTATTCGGTTGCGTAACGCTGCGTGAAAGTGTGGTGCCATCACAGCGGAGCCGCTCCCTCGGAGCCGTGCCCACCGCCGTGACGCCGCCACCGGGGAGGGACGGCGCCAACGCTGCGCCCCTCACCGCCCCCCACATGAATGCACGCACACCCCACGTAGAGCCGGGAGGGAAGCTCACCTGGCCGACAGGTTTTTTATCCAGAAGCCCCTAATGGGATCAAGCTTCATGGTTTCCTGCGGCCGGGAAATTGGGCGATCTACCCCCGAGGCTGACATGCACCGCGGCGCCGTGACCTGATATTAAAGTTGCGTGGTCACGGCAGGGGCCGTTGAGCCACCGCGAGTGGAACCACACACACACACAAACACAAGTCAGTGGGCTGATAGCGGGAAGAACGGAGAGCGGACGTCCAAGGAACCACCGCGGTGACGTCACCAGAGTAGGATCCGAGCATCAAAAGGGCGGGAAAATCCAGGCCTCTGATTGGACAGGAGGCCAAGGGGGTAAAACAACGGAATGCCTTTGTTATAGGTAGGATAAAAGGAGGTAGATTTCCGGTAGTAAGGTTAGAGTCTTTCAAGTCATCGAAGTCAGCGGAGTGTTGGAGCCGGCCGTTCGAATCATCCGTGTGACGAGCTTCAACGCAGCCAGGCACAATCCTCCACGGAGACGACCCACAGCATTGCCCTTTCTACAGCCTCCGGCGCCTCAGATTGGAAGTCAGCGTAAGTAAGGGAGAGGTGAGTTTGGGTTAATTAATCAGAGGGTAGAAAGTGAAACGCCAGGCAGAATAAATTGAGTCCAGGATCCCCGAAGGATAGGCCAGTCAGGGTCTGCTGACTCACACAAACACACGTAGTTTAGCGGGTTATTCGCGGGGAATAAAACCGTCAGTAGAGGATAAAAATGTGTCGTGTGGTCACTGTGAGTGCGGAAAGGGGGGTGGAGTGATTTATGTTCCTGTGCATACGCGGCTGTTTACGGCGAATAGGAGAGTGTAGCATCTGGTGTTTGCGCACACGCGTGGCTGTTTAAACACTCTTTAAATCGGGGCGGAGTGACTCCCTCCAATCAGTGGCGTGCGCACGGCGGACCCCCCTGCCCTCTAACCCCTAACCCCAAGTTCCTCGCGTGTGATTGGTGCACGGGAAGCGCCTAGTGTTCGCGTGCACGCGCGGCTGTTCAGACGGCCTTTAAATCGGCTCAGAGGCGTCCCCGCCAATCGGCGACGAACGCACGGTGGGCGCCCCTGCCCTCTGACCCCCTGACCCCAAGTCCCTCGCGTTGCGATTGGTGTACGGAGTCGGGCAGGTAGCGGCGTCGGTTTTGTTAGCGCCTGGGTACGTAGAGCGTGCGTACGAACGGATCCCGGGGGCCAAGCGCCGGCTGCGGAGTCACACGTCGGCGACGCTGTACCCTTCCGTTCGCGCACGGGGCGGAGTTTTTGCTTCGCGAGCGCGCCCACCGCAGCACGCCCACTACTATGCCCGCGTAGCGCGTCGTGAACGTAAAGCCATCGGCCCTACCGATTGAGACATGCCTACGCGGGCAGCAGCAAAGGCGGGAGCACAGGGGGGGGGGGGGGCGAGGAGTTGGGAGTCGGTAGCCCGAACCCGACAGAGCAGTCGGGGAGTAGTAGTGAGAACGAAACAGAGGAGCTGGGGGGGGCAGCAGCCCCCGCAAAAGCTACCTGGTCTGTTGCTCCGCCACGAATCTTCGGGTCTTCTCGACCACAGTCATTCCCTCCCTAAATATACACACACACTCACACCTGCATGTACACACACCTGCATATACACACTTACATGTAAACACACCTGTACATAAACACGCACACACACATGTATATACACATACCTCTACACATGTCATGACAGGGTGCTACCTGTCGACCTGAAGGGGTAATTGCGGTTATGGGCATGTTACGTAATGTCTAATTATGAGTTGGGCGTATCTGGGGTAAAGGTGAAAGGCGGAGTCAGTTCTGGAAGGGGCGTGGATGGAGGTGGGGCTTGGCCGGGGCAGCATATAAGGGGCACCAAACCAGAGGTTGGGTGCTGCTCTTCGTCATCCGGCCACTTGTCCGATCTTCTGCAATGGCTCTCATCATCCCCGTCACTGCGCCAGTCGGACAGCTGTGTAGTTGGACGCCGACGATGGGGTTGTGTAGAAGGGTCGGCTATGTGTAGCTACGTAGAAATATTACATGGATGTATCGCCCATTGTTGTGCTTAAAGTGTGAGAATAAATAAGATGCCTTTTACACGACGTGTCTCATAATGTCGCTTACTACACATATAAACACAAACCTGCATATGCACACACTCACACCTGCATGTATACACACCTGTACATACACACACCTGTACATATCCACACATCTGCATACACACAAACCTGCATACACACACTCACACCTGTATGTATACACATACCTATACATACACCTTTACATACACACCTGGATGTACACATACCTACATATACACACACCTGAATGTACACACACTCACACCTGCATGTACGTAAACCAGCATACACACACACTCACACCTGCATTTACACACCTGCATATACACACTCACACCTATATGAACATACATACATACAAAGATCAAAGATCCCCCATATAGCCTAAACAGACTGTAGGGGCAAGTGCTGTTAGCGAGCACCTATGAAGGCCGGAACGGTACACGAAGGGGTGGGTGGCCAGCACCACGCCCGACTGCCTTTGTCCCCTAGTGGCAATGTTTTTATCCACCGCACCAGGTACTCATTTGAGGCTGAGTCGACCTAGGGGCGGCCCGGGACCGGTTCAGATAATCGTCACTGGTGTTGGCCGTGAGCGGGAATCGAACCCGGGTCGCCAGGTTCATAGCGCAGCGCGCTAACCGCTACACTACCGCTCCCCATGAGTGAGTGCCCGCCGTTGGATGAGGTTACTAAAGGCCGTGGCAATCTGGTTGACCCGGGAGGACACGTGACCAGTTACGTCTATAAAGGGGGCCTAAGTGGGGGTTAGGGGTGGTCACGTGGTTGAGATCCAGATCCTTCTCGAGAATTCTGGAAGGTGGTCGTGGCCAAGGGCGGAGCCAGTCACCCCGCAGAGAACATAAGCCAGGTCCCAAAGGGACCAGGGTTATTGTTCATCCTGGAAGAAACCTTCGTCTATATTCTCCGTTCAACGAGCTTCCAACACGTGGACCTGGACTCAAGCTGTGGTCCTGGTCCGTAGTAGCAGTTACGTTGTAATTAGTGTAGTTAGCCTGGTGGTCACCACCATAGGTTGTTATTCTCTTAAGGGGAAAATTACTCCGTGTGTTAGAGTTGAATAAATGTGTTGCCTCCAAGTCTACGTCTGCGACTAAGTTTAACTCCCTACATATACACTCAGACCTGCACGTACACACACACCTGTACATACACACACACCTGCACATATACAAACATAAAGGCAATTCATAATAAAGGTTTTTGGGTTAGATCGCGTTTATTTATAAATGTGTCGCAACCCTCCACCACCCGACACGGCCAATCAGCAAAAAAGTGTCACGTTGACAAAAGACAAACAATTCACTACTTCAGCCCACCGGTGTGTTGAAGAGTTAATCCACATTTACAGTTTGAGTACGACGTTTCGCTGGTAAATACTTCCAGCATCATCGGGCAATTCGCCATTCTGGCGAATTGCCCGATGGGGTGGGTGGCCAGCACCACGGCCAATCAGCACTTTTCTTTGCTGATTGGCCGTGTCGGGTGGTGGAGGGTTGCGACACATTTATAAATAAACGCGATCTAACCCAAAAACCTTTATTATGAATAATATTGGTCGCGAAAGCCTACGTGTTAAACTGATAAAGGCAATTACAAAGATCCCCATATAGCCTTGACCGACTCTAGGGGCAAGTGATGTTATCGAGCGCCTATGAAGGCTAGAACGGCATGCGAGAGGGTGGGTTGCCAAAACCACACCCGGCTGCCTTTGTCTCCCCAGTAACAATGTTTATACATCGCTCCAGGTCCTCATTTGAGGCTGAGTCGACCTAGAGAAGACACAGTACCGGTTTAGATAATTCTCGCATGTGTTGGCCGTGAGAGGGAATCCAATCCAGGAAGCCTGGTTTGTAGCACAGTTTAGTGCTAACTATTGCTCAACCGCCACACACACACACAGACCCATAGACACCACACAGAGACCCATAATATCTCCACGGAGAGAGAGACACATACTCCAAATATACAGCAGGAATCGTCAGGGTCGGGATTGATTGAACCCACGACCTCCTGCATACCGGGCGAGGTAGTTAACATCTCCACGGGGAGAGAGACGCAGACTCCAAATATGCAGCAGGTGGAAGGGTCCGGGATCAAATCCACGAGCACCTGCTCTTACACCTCTCTTCCTGCTGCTACCTTAAAGACTTCTTCCCTAAGCTGTCTGAGGCAAAGGTAAAAGCTGATGTCTTTGTCGGACCACAGAAAAAGAAGATCCTGGAGTGCAATGAATTCCCCAAGTTCACTCGCAAGGAGAAAGTGGCTTGGAACAGCTTTGACGCAGTGGTTCGTGGCTTCCTGGGAAACCACAAGGTCGAAAACTACGTGAAGCTGGTTCTTCACTTTGGTGAAGAACTGCAGCACAATGGGCTGAAGGATGTCCTTCAAAGTCCATATCCTTGATGCTCATCTTGATAAATTCAAGGAGAACATGAAAGTGTACTTGGAGGAGTAAGGCGAGCGCTTCCACCAGGATATACTGGACTTTGAACGCCGATACAAAGGACAGGATAACGAGGACATGATGCGAAACTACATTTCAGGGCAGATTCGTGAAAGTGATTTACAGTATAATCGTAAATTTTGAAAAACTACTCACTTCTAAATCTTTTGTAGTCATTTGTGCATTACTTTACTATAAGTACATTTTGATTTTGATTCATATGTTGTTTTTGTTTGATTTTACGTGAATTAAATACACAAATTCGCCTGTTTTCTCATTGAAAATAGGTAAATTTCAAAATATCACTTTCCTGGTCACAAAAGCAAAGTTTGTGGGAAATAATAGCCATTTTCTATACTTTATAGACATAAGCCATTACGAAATAACACTTACTACCCAGGATTTTTTTTTTCATAGTGTCATCATCCAGAACGGATGGCGGCACTCGTAACGCCTCTTCGTCCGACCAATCGACTCAGTAGTTTTATTCGAATTATTGTAAGTGATTTGTTTACCTTTCCTATACTTTGCACTCATATCGCGTGTGTATTGTGTGTATTGTTGTTGTTGTTGTAAGGATCTGACCCCGGTGCCCCGACTGGACATCTGTGAAAAACACATTTGTAGCTCATCAAATTTCCTCCTTCAACCTTAATAAATAATCTGATTCTGACTGATTTCCACCACTGGTTTACAAGGGGCGTCGTTGGGGAATTTTCGTCACACACCACTGTGAAATGACAATGTTGCCAACCTGAGCAAGATTAATTTAATTTTAAAAAGTAAAAACAATTAAAAGTCGACCATCTTCCAAGAAACACACTGCATGCATTTGGTTTAACAATTGTGTGTTGTGTGGGAGATCATAGAACGATAGGAATAAGCATTGTAATCAGGTACAGGCGATTTCCCTCGATTCAACGTTTCGGTTTATGCGAAGTTTCGCTTGAACGCGATTTACAAATGACAGACGCTTTTTTGTTTTTCGTGTAAAAATAAACCATTCATTTAATACAAGCTTTACTACCCGTCTTCGCCCGGGACTTGAATTCTTGTCTAGGATTAATTTCATATTCCCTTCTATTTCACTGAAAAACCCTGAAAAAAGTTGATGCTTGCAAGAAAGAAAAAAAGCCAAAACAATTCAATTTAACTAAATCGGATGTTTTTCGAGTAAAACTAAACCATTTATTTATTGTAACCAGGTGTAAGGCCCCACGACTGAGCTGGTGTAGCTCTCTTTCAGAAGCGACCTTGGCCATCACAAACAATGACAGCTCAAACCACGTGGCAAGATGTCATCAACATCATCATCACGTGGAAATGTCTAGCAGCAGGCAAATAACCCTGAATGCGTGGTGACTTTGATTCTAAATGTGAAGATGAAACATCGGAGGACCACGGAGAGATAGAGACACGCAAACTCCAAATACAGCAGCAGGCATCATCAGGGTGGGGATCGAACTCGCGACCTCCTGTAGACCAGGCGAGGAAGTTATCAGCTCCCTAGCCACTGTGGCGCAATCAACCAAATCGAATTTCTGCGTAATCGAATTTCCTTCGGCACTCGCCCATCGAACGAGAAAGCCACCCGGAAGGCTACGTCATTGGACATCTGTGACAAAGAGCTTCGTATGTCATCAGATTTCCTCCGCCTCCTGTCTAAATACAGATTCCGATCCGCGACAGTATTATGGTGTCCCTATACAGTGCAACTGTAACGTCTCCACATCACCCTCTCCAGTCATTCCATCATGCAGCAATTTGTTTTTATAGTTCTTTCAAGTGTATTATTATTTATTCCGTTTAATATTCACGTTCTTCAATAATGTTATTACACTTTTTTTGCACCCTCAAATGTGACAAAGGTGTATTGCAATTTTCTTTTCGAGTTGGAATTATTTGTTTTTTGTCAACGTGACACTTTTTTTTTGCTGATTGGCCGTGTCGGGTGGTGGAGGGTTACGCCACATTTATAAATAAACGCGATCTAACCCAAAAACCTTTATTATGAATAATATTGGTCGCGGAAGCCTACGTGTTAAACTGAGTTGGAATAACTGTCCGATACACACCCCCGAATTTTTTATATTAAACCAAACGCGTAAAGCCATTGCGAATTACAAATTTAGTTTCACGCACGTGAGTCTGTTTTTAGATGTTAGAGAAACGCATCCCATTCGATAAATCGAGCGGTACCTTGAACATGCCATTGGTCAGGTTCACGCAAAACTGCTACCCCAAACACCACCCCACCCAATAGTAGATTACTTCCTTTCACCCCCCCCCCAATCATCTCCAAACTCTCTGAACACCCTCCGTGACCTGTTCCAACTCCAGGTTAAAGATCTTTCCATTATCTTCTGCCTTACGGGATCCACTGCCTGTTTCTCTATAAATGATGGAATATCATTCCTCACTTGGGTATCTGCGTGACGAGTCCATGGGTCTCTGTGTGATGAGTCTATGGGTCTCTATGTGGTGAGCCTATGGCTCTCTGTGTAACGAGTCTACTTGTCTCTATGTTATGGACATACGTACGTTGCATTTTTTTAGCAGCGTAACACAACAATCAAGACGATTTCAGCGTTGCACAGCTCCACTGGTGGAAGCGTCGTGAGACAACCGAATTGAAGTTTAAAAGTGATTGGATCAACCCAGGCACGTGGGGGGTGGAGTGCGGCTGTGACGTCACGACCTACACCAGAGCCCTGCTGACCACGACGCTGGTGGCCACGCCCAGCAGGGCCAGGGTCACGTGAGCTGCGCCCGGCGGTCGAGGAGGGGCGGCGTTGACGTTGCAGCCGTCGCCCTGGCAGCACGTGGTGCTCAGCGTGGCTCCGCTGTAGGTTGCGTCGAATGCTTTGAGGGTGTCGCAATAGACCTTGGTCATGCACTGCTTGGTGACGGCGTAGGCTGGGTGGAAGAGAAAGCACGCGGGTCTCATTGTAAGTAACAAAAACAAAAATTATTAAAAATACGTAAAAAAATATATATTTGTAATTGTTATTTTACCACGTGAAAGTCCCCGCTGAGCTGTCATGTAGCCCTTTTTCAGAAGTCACCTGTACGTAGTCTTGGTTCTTTCGGTAAAGTCACCACGTAGAAGGGAAACAATTAAATGATAATAATATAAAACAATACGATTCTCACGACGTTTTTTTTTCAAATTTTCTTGCTGCGTTTTTCCACACCTGATGACGATTGCTGCTTTGTGTTGCAGTCGAAACGTCGTGAGAATTTTATTGTTTTATATTTGTATTATTGTATTGTTTCCCTTCTACGTGACTTTACCGAAAGAACCAAGAATATGAATCCCTGCAGTCACGAAAGCTTTAAATCTAAATTTGACTCTTTACGTGTTTGTTGAACTTATTTCGTGCAGTATGCAGCCAACCGTGCTAAGCTGTGCGTGTCTATAAGTGTGTTATGGGTGATTGTGGGACTCTTTGTATGTATGTGTGTGTATGTTTAACTTCTTTTGCACCATACATAGCCCACCATCCTAATTTCAGGTGCGCGGGGAAGGAAAACAAACTAAAGCACAACAATCAATTTTAAGAAATGAGGATGTCAACCGAGATAATGATTTCAAAGTGCAAAGCTCCCCGTGGTTTCCTAATATTGGAAGGAAGAGCGTTCCAGACGGCCGCAGAAGCAGCGCATCCGAAAGCGCCGTGCGATGATGCAGTGGCCACCTTTGTTCGACAGCCAGACAAAAATCCGCTACCACAAACGGTGGCTGATATCGTCACCATTATCATCGCGTTAAAATATAAAGCAGCAGCAGAATGCTCCGAACGCCGTGACGTCAATTCAAAAATTTGAAAGGAGAAAAATCGGATGACCCCAGAGAAATATCAACACATTGGGGAAGAGTCTCCGATTGGGATGCAGAAACCCATTTACTCATCACGTAAATAAACCAATAGACTCATCACACACAGAGACCCATATAAGCATCATACACATAGACCAATAGTCTCACCACGCAGAGAACCCACAGACTCACCACACAGAGACCCATTGATTCCCCACTCATAGACCCCATAGACTCATCACACACAGAGACCCATAGACTCATAAAACACAGAGACACCTAGAATCATCACACACACATAGACCCATAGAAGCATCACACACATGGACCCATTGACTTATCACACGCAGAAACCCATAGACTCATCACACACAGAGAGACCCATATACGCATCATACACAGAGACCCATAGACTCCCCACACAGAGACCCCATAGACTCATCGTGCACATAGATCCATAGACTCATTACTCACAGAGACCCATATAATCAACACACAAATACCCTTAGACTCTTCACCGCACAGAGACCCCATAGACTCGCAACACTGAGACTCCATAAACTCAACACACAGAGACCCCATAGACTCATCACACACGGAGACCCATAGACTCGCCACACAGAGACTTCATAAACTCAACGCACAGAGACCCCATAGACTCATCACCACACAGAGACCCTATAGACTCATCACCACACAGAGACCCATAGACTCACCACACAGAGACCCCATAGACTCATAACACTGAGACTCCATAAACTCAACACACAGAGACCCATAGACTCACCACACAGAGACCCATAGACTCATCACCACACAGAGACCCCATAGACTCACCACACAGAGACTCCATAAACTCAACACACAGAGACCCCATAGACTCATCACCACACAGAGACCCAATAGACTCATCACCACACAGAGACCCCATAGACTCAAAACACAGTGAGGGCAGACGCTCGTCTGGTAGTCCCTGCTGAACGCCAGGGGTTCGCCCCCAACCCGCACTTTGCGAGAATAAGCGACGCGCTTACTGGAGCCTTTGTAGACGAGGATTGTTGCGCAGGTGTTGCTCAGTTCATCGGGACACGTGATGAGGCCGCCCTCGTTGCACTCCGTTTTGTTGATGGTCGGTGGGCAACTGTAGCATTTGAGGCTGTGCACTGTATATCCACAGAATCAAGACACAAGAACAACACCGATCATCATTGTCATCACAGCAGGCAATCAGCATCATCACGGCAGACGATCATCATCATCATCACGGCAGACTATCATCATCACGATAGACGATCACCATCATCATCATCACGACAGACGAACGCCATCATCATCACGGCAGACGAACACCATCATCATCATCACGGCAGACGATCACCATCATCGCCATCAGCACCACCACCACCATCATCATCATCACGCTGCTGCACTACGAACCGGGCGACCCGAGTTTGATTCCCTCTCACGGCTACCAACACCACAGGTGGCGATCATCTGAAGCGGTACCCTGGGGCCTCCTCCCACGAGGTCCACTCGTCCTCAAATGGGTACCTGGTGCAGTGGTGGTGTGGAGGAAACATCGCCACTGGGAAGACAAAGGTGGCCGGGCGTGGTGCTGGCCACCAACCACCTCGTGTTTCTTTGCCGGCCTTCGTAGGCGCTGCTACTCGCTAATAGCGCTTGCCTCAACAGTCTGTTCAGGCTAAACGGGGAATGTTTGTCTTTGTACGGGGTGTGTGCAAGGTTTGTGTAGGAGGCTCGTGAAGGACGCCACCAATTTGGCAGATGGAGGCAGTCGCCCATCCAACAACAACGGAGGGCAGGTCGAGCGACTCTCACTACGACGAGCGGAGCGCCGGGCGGATAAAACGCAGCGAGTTGGCGCAGTTGGGGGGAACAGGTGGTACATCTGCACAGTCATCTCAGTCGGTCAACCCATGTCACCTGCGGGGTCTGTCCCGTGACCTCTCCCTGAACCTAGCCTTGCAAAGCATTCACCCCTCTGGCACCTGCAGGGTCTGTCCCCGTGACCTCCTCCTCATGCACCTAGCCTGGCACAGTAGTCAACCTATGGCTCCTGCAGGGGCCGTCCGTGACCTCCCCCTGCACCGAACCTGGCACAGTAGTCAACCAATGGCACCTGCAGGGTCTGTGCGGTGACATCCAGATGCACCTAGCCTGGCACAGAAGTCAAGCTATGGCACCTGCAGGGTCTGTCCTGTGACCTCCACTTGCACCTAGCCTGGCCCAACAGTCAGCTCACGGCACCTGCTGGGTCTGACCCGAGACCTCCAGTCAGCGAGCCTTCGACACTTCACATGATAGCCTCAAAGTGCACCTAGCCTGGTACAGGCCGCCGTCACCGCCACTTAGTGGCATTTTCGAACACATTTTCGCAACTCGCCGCCTGATGAACCTGCTGATTGTTGTTGCTGTTGTAGTTGTGGCTGTTTTGGTTGTTGTGGTTGTTGGGGTGGTTAATAAATACCGCTTGTGTTGCAATCGAAACGTCGTGTGTTTTTTTTTGCTTTTATTATTTTCAATTTATTATTTATATTTTATTATTTTTACTTCATCTTTTTAATTATTATTTTTTTTCTTTCCGATCGATGTCACGCCAACTCACTTCTCGGAACAAACCTTAAATATCAGCCGGGGTCTGTGTGATGCGTATATAGGCCTCTGTGTGATGAGTATTTGGATCTGTGTGATGAGTCTACGTGTCTCTTTGTGGGGAGTCTATGAGTCTCTGTGTGATGAGTCCAAGGCCGTAGCCATGGCATCAACAGTGGGGGGGGGGGGACCAAATCTTCCAGGAGCCCGAATCGTCGTGATTTATTTTATTTTATACCTACGTGACTTTTCCGAAAGAACCAAAGAGTATGAATTCCTGCAGTCACGAAAGTTTTAAGTGGAAAAGAAAAGCCAACTTAATTTAAAAAGGGAATGCGAGCGTGCAAACGCAGCACCAAACACGTCCAACACTCCGTATAGGGCTTTAACGATTTGCGGGAAAATATCTAATCGCGATTTTTCTGACAGGTGTATTGCGATTTGATTTGCGATGAAACATTTTTTTTAAGTCAAGCTTCAATGTTCACTGTGTAATAGATTTAAAACATGTGATGGAGCATTACCACATCATACCATCAAAATATGAACTGCTCTATTCATTCTAATGCAAGGATGAGAACGTAAAAGATATGAATTGCTTTCAACATGTTTTAAATTAAAACTAATTTGAAATAGAAAAATTTAACAGAGAACAACTGCTAAGTTAAATAAATAAAGTTATAATAATAAAAACTAAAAACTATTCCAATTAGAAAGTAATAGGACTTTTAAATCGCAAAAAAATCGCAGCCTTTGCGATTTGCTAATCGCATTGTTTCAAATTGCGATTTCGATTTGAAATCGATTAATCGTTCAGTCGGAGTACAGAAACTAAACACCCCAAAACATTAAAACGTCGAATAGCTGCGAGGCTATTGGAAATACTGCGGTAACATCGATGTAAATTATACGTGCTAGATTTGCTATGTAGTTGTTACTTGTTGTGGATATTTAATGGGTACTTTCTATTCTCTTTGGTTCTTTCGGTAAAGTCACGTAGGTATAAAATAAAATAAATCACGACGTTTCGGGCGCAACACAAGCGTCCGTCATCAGGTGGGAAAGCATGATCTGTTGCTGAGGCAGCTGCTGAGGCAGTCTCAGCAGCCTCAGCAGCCTCAGTCTGCCCCAGTAGCAGACCATGCTTTCCCACCTGATGAAGGAAGCTTGTGTTGCGCCCAAAATGTCGTGATTTATTTGATACCTACGTGACTTCACCGAAAGAACCAAAGAGTATAGCAAGTACCCAATAAATATCCACAATAAGTAACAACTGTAAGTAAATCTAACGCGTATTATTTATATCGATGTTACCTTAGTATTTCTAATAGCGACATAGCTATTCGACGCTTTAATGTTTTGGGGTGTTTAGTTTCGGTACTCGGGCTGAACGATTAACCGATTTCAAATGGAAATCGCAATTTGAAATGACTGCCTGTCATGTACAACAGCAGGCATCGTCAGGGTCCAGGATCGAACCCATGCCCTCCTGTATACCAGGCGAGGTAGTTAACATCTCTATATATCGCAGTATGCTTTGCTGTTGTTGCAACAACAAACAACCCGCCATGCAGAAGTTGTCTCACCTCCGCTCACGAACAGCAACGCCACGAGGAGCAGACCAGGCAGGTGGCAAGTCATGGTTAGAGTCGTGGAGCCAGGCGTTGTGGAGCTTTGGGATGGAAAGTCGGCGAGTGGAGATAGACAGATTAACAAGAGTCAGAGTGAGAGAGATATCGCTGGATTGGTGACTGCGTCTGCGTGGTGAACTGTGTGATTTTATAAGCCCCAGAGACCAATGAGATCGGGGTAGACACTCCTACAAACATATTTGCACATAACGTAAAAATCGTAGCGGGTGATGTGCAAATATATGTGTCGGAGGTCGTTGCTCAACATCAGCAAATGTGGCTGGCACGCTAACTGGGATGGGTTGCATGGTAACAAACGCATCTACATGTACACACACTCACACATGAATGGACACAAACACCTGCACATACACCCACCTGAATACACACACTCACACATACATGTATACATATACCTGTACATTCACACACCATTACATACACACACACACCTGTACATACACATACCTACATATACTCACACCTAAATGTACACACACTGACACCTGCACGTAGGCACACCTTTATATAAACCCACACCTGCATGTACACAAACACCTGCATATATATACACACACAGACCTGCATAGACACACATTGAAACCTGCAAGAACACACACACCTGCATATACACACACCTGTACATACATACACACACCTCTTCATACACACAAACCTGAATATACACACAGCTGAATATAAACACACACACACCTGCATGTACACACACACTTGCATAAACACTCACACCTGCATGTACACACACACACACACCTGCATGTACCCACACACCTGCATGTACATACATAGACATCTGCATGAACACACACTTGCATATACTCTCACACTTGTAAGTACACGCACCTGTACCTATACATTCAGACCTGTACATACACACACACAAACCTCTACATATGCACACACCTGTACATATACACACACCCGTACATATACAATTATAAAGACAAATATGAAGATCCCCCGTATAGCCTTGACAGACTCTCGGGGCAAGTGACATTATCGAGGACCGATGAAGGCCGGAACGGCACGCAAGGGTTTGGTTGTCCAACACCACGCCCGGCTGCTTTTGTCTCCCCAGTGGCGATATTTATACATCGCTACTGGTCCTCATTTGAGGCTGAGTCGACCTAGGGGATGCCCATTACCGGTTTAGATAATTGCCACTGGTGTTGGCCGTGAACGGGAATCCAAATCGGGAAGCCTGGTTCGTAGCACAGTGTAGTGCTAACTATTGCTCTATGGCTACACACACACAGACCCATAGACTCACAAACGCAGACACCCATAACATCTCCACGGGGAGCATAATCCAAATGTACAGCAGGAAGCGTCAGGGTCCGGGATCGAACCCCTACAGATTGTGAGCCCTGAGACACCGTGATGAGTACCATCGACAATCGAGCTGTGGATAGACCACGGCTGATTTCAAGTTCTTCTCTTCCCACCCAACTCCCTCTTAGGTGCCCCAAGTCTGCTAAGGCGATACCGGGGACGTTGATCTTTATTCTTTATCAGCCCGGTTTCTATTCCCTACACCGGCCTCCTATTCATGTCAAATTCCCTCTAATGCTATTTTTTAGAAACGTATTTTTTAGTGCTCAGTTCTGTTCTCCTTCCACCCGCATCTGCTATTCGCATGGTTGGCTACTTATGGCGGCAAAGAAGTTCAGCATACGCACATACATAGAGACCCGTAGACTCATCACACAGAGACCCGTAGGCTCACCACACAGAGACCTGTAGACTCATCACATAGAGACCCGCAGACTCATCACATAGAGACCTGTAGACTCACACACAAATATATTTGTCAATGCTCGTTGCTCAACATCTGCAAATGTGGCTGGCACGCTAACTGGGGTGGGTTGCATGGTAACAAACGCATCTACATGTACACA